CCTGTTGCTGTAGAGCGACGATGTGAGAGACGCAGCCGTAAACAGGGTCTCGGAGACGAGACTGGGCTTCGAAACATATGCAAACGACTGCGTCTGGTCGTTTATGTTCGGGGACATGGTTGAGGAGTTTGGAGACGTTGCTCGCTCCGAACACCTTGTGAACCGCCGCGAAGTGAGCCGCTCCTTGCTCCGAGTCGAAGTAAGGTGCGAAGATGCAACCGGCGACGCACTTCCGTCTCAAGAACTTGCACGCACCGCACGGTCCTGATCCTCCACCGCCTACACCGCTGCTGCTAGGGTTTCCACTACTGTTCATATTCTTTTTATTTTGATTTAATGTAAAAACAAACAAGCTTCTCACTAGCTAATTTTGTGATCAGGGTTTTTGAGATATTATGTAATAAGTTTATTCATATTCGAGAAGATTAGGGTGTTTTTTTTTTTTTTTTGGTTGGAAGAAAATAGGGAACGTTTGGGAGAAAAGGAAGAGGGGAAGGAAGGAGATCGGACGTAAAACAAAACTAGGGTTTGGTTTGGTGGTAATTGGAAACCATTTTTTATTTCCCCATTAATAGCTATTTAATAAATAAATGAAAAATGAAAATACTATTTAATTAGTTTTATTATTACCAGAAGAAAGACGGTTAAGACAAGAGGAAAGAAAAATAAAAAAAGCCTTCAAAGCAACGCGATGGAGCGTACTTGTCTCGTGTTAAGCTCTTTGCGTGAAGCAAAACATTCTATATCTCTTAACTTGTCCATTGTTCTTCCTTTCCTCCATTTTTCTACTTCTGGTAAAGTTTTACTTTTTTTTTTTGTTACAAAAGTGCATCTTTTGGTGTATTTATGCACATGCAATTGTAACACAATTAGAAATTAATTATACAAACTAATTCTTTTTAAAAATTAAAATAAATTGAGCTTATACTTGTAATCCAATGGATTTTGTTTTGGCGGTGATTTTGAGACGATAACTTTATTTTAGAAATGTAACGGTTCACCGCGGCACGTGTTAATTTTAATGTTGTTTTTGTTAAAAATGTATCTTAGCTACTAGCATTTGGCAATGTGTTAACGAATTCGTAAATGGATTTACATCGAACAGATTCTTCGAATAAAAAAAAATTATTTTACGTTTATATTTTCATTTATTTGTCGTCCATAACTTTTTTTTTTGTAGCCAACATAAAAATCGTCTATAACTCATATCGTTTACAACAATGACAAGAAAATATATTTGAATTAGAGTTACGATACATAAACTCACTAGAACAAAATCATTATATTTTTTGTATCATACTAATATTTAATGTTTTAACTAAAATGCGAATAAAGAATATGTAACGGTTTACCGCGGCCCGCTCATTTTATTTTGTTTTTGTTAATTATATACTCTACTAGCATTTGGGTACATGTCAACAAATTTGCAAATGATTTTTACCCATCAGATTCTTAGAGCAAGATCGAAAACCCTTTTTACAAATTCTTGTTTAATTTAACTTCACGAAAACTTTACTTTAGAACTGTATAATTCACCACAGTGCGTTGATTAATTTATGGTGTTGCTAAACATATACTCTATTAGCATTTGGCAACTTGTCCAACTTTTTGCAATATCTATTTACCTCTCCTATCATTAGAGTTAAGAGTTTGCACTCGTGTTCTACTCTATTTATCGTTTATAACTCATGCACATATGCATACACAATCTCATGTTTGAATTAGAATTATGACAAAAAAGTACCTTATAGAATACAAATCATTATGCTGTAAACTTTGATTTGTTTTTATTTTATGACAATTTAATTTTATAAATGTAACGGTTCACCGCAGTGCGATTTTTTTGTTGTTCTTGTTAAATATTTTCGAACGTTAATTTGCATATCATATCTTAGAGCATTAAAAGTATTCCTATCTATGTTGTATGAATATAACTCACAAAATATAATCATGTTTAAGTCGAATTGTTACATAATGACTTAATATTATACTAACCAATTATGTTATAAGCTCGTGTATTCGTCCTTTGCATACAACTATAAATACTAAATCTATGTATATAC